ACAAATGATGGTAAAAACAACAATAAACAACCTACGAGGCCACATCTACACCAAAGCACCCACTCTATCTAAAAATACCAATGCTATAGTGCCACATCTACAAGAACCACTCGTGTCATATGCCTTCAGGACCTACTCCCTACCACTCAGGTGGTCTTCTGCACCGGATACAATCACATACCCTATAAAACATATTAATGGAATTCCAACATTTAATCCCTGATTTTAAACGTACCCTAAAGACAAACCAAGTTATGTAGCCAGCCTTAATTGACAAATGTGTGGCATTTTCTAAATCAATATAGTGTAACAAGCATAAAATGAGAATTCCTAAACGTGTATATAAAAACATTTGTATCCTTACATCCTAAATCAATCTTGTATTACTAACCACATCATGTTGTAATTAAGCGTTTAAATGTTGGAATACCAAATTGTTGAATACATATCCACCCTACGAGATACAAGTCTACCAATGTTAGTATGACAACAACAATAAAACACAAGTGCTTACTTTAGTACGCAATAATCAAACTATATTTAACAACTCATTTCAACAACTTATTTGGATCTCAAACCAACCTTCTTAAAACTTGAGCTAACCTTGCTTCGACTAGGAAGGTATGAGCATTGCACTGATTCTCATATTATCAACACTCGCGCCTCAACTACCTTGGATATGTTTATCATTTGTTGCATGATTTTTGTGACAGATAAGGTGAAGGACATGACTCCCAAAGTATTGTTCTTCTCTTTGCGCATCATTTGTAGGTTCATGTTTCATAAATTCATTTAGACAAAACCATAAAGATTATATTAGATTATGATTATGCTCAAGGAGTAGCAACATATTGTGAAGATAAAGGTTTCGTTAAGAAAGACAAATTCATTGTAATTGGTGGAGATGTTGCTGTTTTAAAGGGCGGAGGTTGAGCGATCACAAGAATTTCAAAATTAAATTGCACTAATTTTTTATTGTATGGAGCAAATAGTGTGGTCGCACTAATCTTTTAGGAATCGATTTTCTTGCATGGCTTTTATTTTTTTACTTTCAGTAAGGACTTTAGTCAATAAATCGGGTTAGTATGTGGAAAATTATACGAGTATGATATTTTCAGCAACTAAATAATTTGGAATCCGTATGGTATGAAATAAAACATGTTTCATTCCGGGCAATTACTATAGTCAGTTATATATTACTGTTGAAATTCATCCGACCAACGGGTGGGCCCAAATCTAGTACCTAAAATAAAAAATTTACACGTACTATACTAGTTGTGGATCCAGAGCATGGCTGACTCCCTGGATCCGCCGCTGCGAATGATCAATATCAAGTTGCAACAAAAATTCATGAAAAACTAGTATTATGACCGCCCCGTTGGCCGGTTGGTGGGTCTTTAGGTGAATTCGATAAGATTAGTAGAAAGTAGACATTTGGTGGGCGTACAATTTTAGAAGAAGATTCATGTGTCTAGTTAAAAGTATTTATTGCAGATAGTGCTACTTTCATCCCTTCCGTTTCTTTTCATTTTTTCCTTCGACTTTTGTAAGGGACATGTGGTGTAGCATCTACCTTCTCATGGGCTTGGGATGAAGTAAAAAATGGGAGCATATATGGTACAAAAATCATCCACTATAACATCCTACAAAATCCAGTCTTTGGTCGTGCATATTTGTCTCATCCAATAATAAAAAAAGCACACCAATAAGAGAGGGAGTCAAGAGGGTTGACATGATAATTTCTATGTTTTTTTTTTGTTTGGCTGATAGCTTGTCATGAATCCTAGAGGAAAGAAGGAAGATTTTTTGAACAGTCAAAGACCGCTTTTCTAATTACTTATTTTCTTAATCAAGACATATCTTTTTTGTTTTAACTTGAAATTTGGAAAAAATTGCATAGAAATGACGCATCAGTAATAATATCATGATATGACAGTAATATTATGTCCTCAAATTATTTTGTTATATAAAACCTCATACCAACATTATATCATTATCATATCATGATATTATCATTATACAATAGTGATAATATTATGATATGACATCATGAAATTATTTTCTCAAACATAAGACTTCATATACACACATCATATCATTATCATATCAACATCATACCACTATGATACCATTTTATTGTTAGTGGTAATATCGTGATATGATGGTGATCAGTGGCGTATCCAAGATTTTATTTAAGGGCGTGCCATAAAAAAATTGTATATGCGGTCTCGTGTTTTATATTGTGAAATTATTCTATAACTATATGAATCAGATAAATTATCAAGATTTTACACTGAATATATCCCACCGAATAACCATTCACTACTTTAGTCCACTAGATGTGAAGGCCGATCAATCGTTCCATAGCATAAAATGTTATCAGCTTGTGCATTGACAGTGATATGATGACCTAAAAAAAATTTTGTTCCAAAAATTATCAACATGGATACCACCTTGTAGAGCACAAAAATATGATAATTCTACGCAAATTTTTTTTGAAATTCTATTTAAAATTAATGAAATATAGTACGTTGAATATTCGGAGCAGACTTAAAAAGTGTGATGATAACACAACTGGAAATTCAAGCATTGCCCCAAAAATCCGGTCAACTGCAGCGAAAATCTTGTTAGCTCTCTCCTAAATATCTTATTTCCCTCATTATCCTTTCTAATATGGACCAATAAATCTCTACTTCTCATATTAATATCATTAGATTATATTTTGTAGTACTATAAAAAGGATTTTGTACTGGAACCTATATCGTAAAACAAATTGGTAGAAATATACAGTAAAAATTTAGTTGTTTGGATGCCCACACCATTAAATGCGCAAATCCTACCATAAAAGTCAATTTTTACACAACATACTACTTGAGAAGAATTTTCAGGCCCCTCATCATTTTGCTACCAAACCCAATCACTCAACAAATAATATTTGAAAGATAATTATAGATTTCACCAAGTAAAATACAATATTCATCACGTAATGCATGTAACATATGTTTATTTTATATGACAGTTATAGAATACCAACTTAACGTAAATTACAAAGTCGTTAAACCAAACTACCTTGTTCTTTTTTCCCCGGTAAATATCATTTGTTCTTCTCATTGCCTCAAACTTTGATTTCAGAAAAGACACAAATATTTCTTTTAATCAGTACAAATTCCCAAAAGAAAATAATAATAATTCTGTCAATTCAAATCTAAGAAACCTTTTCTTTGAATAATCATTTAAATGTATGAGTTTATGATCTACGATCTCTTTAAATCCAACGTTTTCCAGCTCAACACCCTATGTAAAAGCAAAGTTCATAATGCAGTAGCATAATTAATCTATAATCGGATTAATGGTATGAAGGAGAAGAAAGCAATGAGGGATGGTGCTCGAGGAAGAACATAGGGCCTAGGGGATTTGGTTTTTGGATCGGAGGGAAGCGATTTAGAACTCAGTCGCCCGCCGAATAACAATATCCGTAGTCTAAATTTTCTGGCCCAACATTTGTTTTATGTTTAATTGTATGAAGAGATCATAATTGCACTAAGGGGTTTGGATTACTTTTATGGGTGTGCCTACGGTGACATGCATGTTACGGTGACTTGCACTTTCCGGTCGACCTCGGTTAGGATTAGGTCGACCTCATTTAGAATTCGGTCGACCTCATATAGGATCTGGTCGACCTCATTTAGAATTCGGTCGACCTCATATAGGATCAGGTCGACCTAATCTGTTGTTTCAGTGTAAAAATAGTTCATGGTGCCTACTTTGGATATTCATATCATACAATTGGCTAGATGGAAATTGAAGACTAATGACTTGTTTTGAAGCTGGAGTGTCCCTCTACATATTGAAGTGATTGAGAGCTCGATAGGAAGTCTAGAAGACCATTTTTGAACCTCATCAAAAGGCTATGCCAAAACTGGGAAACTGGCTAGAAATGGCTAAATCCGGAAACGTGTTTGTGAAGTCTATTTTGGAGCTCAATTCGAGAAGCTTGAATGCGAGTCGAGTGCAGGAGCCTCTACCACGTTAAATTAGGTATGTTTTTATACAAATTCAAGGCATTGGATGAAAGATTGGATATCTGTAAGGCTTCAAACAAAAGGGTCGAAGTTGCTACGAAGGCTGTTTTTCTGGCAGACTTCGAGCACAAGCAAGCTGCCAGAAAAACAGCCTTCGTAGCAACTTCAAGCCTTTTGTTTGAAGCTTTAAAGATATTCAATCTTTCATCCAATGTCTTGCCTTTGCATAAAAAAATACGTAATTTAACGTGGTAGAGGCCCTTGGACTTGACTCGCATCCATGCTTCTCAAATTGAGCTCCAAAGTAGGCTTGACAAACACGTTGCCAGACTTAGCCATTTTCAGGCAGTTTCCCAGTTTTGGAATAGCCTTTTGGTCAGGTTAAAAAATGGTCTTCTGGACTTTCTATTGAGCTCCCAATTACTTTAATGTGTAGAGGGACACTTCAGCTTCAAAACAAGCCTTTAATCTCCAATTTCCATCTAGCCAATTGTAAGATATGAATCTCCAAAGTAGGCACCATGAAACTGTTTTTACACTGAAACAACAGATTAGGTCGATCTGATCCTACATGAGGTCGACCGAAAAGTACATGTCACCGTGACATGCATGTCACCGTAGCAAAGTCCTACTTTTATACCCCACTAGAAAACACGGTACAAAGTCAAAATGACTACGTGGCAAAACTGAAATATATGTTTTAGATTTAGATTAGATTAGAAGATATAAGATTGTTGTAATTGCCATCGAATCTTCGATCCCACCCCTATATTTTGCTTGCTCTGTAAACCACCACTAGAGGTTTAACTTTTAAGGATCAAATCCCAAGGATTTGGCCTTTGGGCTCCATTGGCAAATGATTAAATTCGGTTGGGATAAGATAAAGCTCTGGGCCTTGCAATTGCGGCCCTTTGAAATGGGCGTTAAGGGCGGGCTGGGCTTATGCTGGTCCATTCACCGCTTCATTCGTTCCGTTACCGTATGCGAGGAAGAAAGTGAGAGACCCTCGAATAAGGCGAACTGGAAAAGAGATCCCGTTTCTCCCTCGCGAAGTATTTGGCGACGGACAAACAGTGGGCGCAGCAATGGCGGCGCAGCAGCCGGTGCAGAAGAACACGCTCTACGTCGGAGGATTGGCAGAGGAAGTCAACGAGTCCATACTCCACGCCGCGTTCATCCCCTTCGGTGACATTAAAGATGTCAAGACTCCGTTAGATCAGGCCACTCAGAAGCATCGCTCCTTCGGGTTCGTTACTTTCCTCGAGAAGGAAGACGCCTCCGCGGCCATGGACAACATGGACGGAGCCGAGCTCTACGGAAGAGTACTCACCGTCAATTACGCTCTCCCGGAGAAAATTAAGGGCGGTGAACAAGGATGGGCTGCTCAACCTAGTATGTTTACTGCCTTCTTCTTTCTCACATTGTTACATATGGTTTATTCTGTTTATGAACCCTAACCCTAATTTCGACGTTTTGTGGGACCTTAGTAGTTCACTGAAACTTCTGCTGAAATTTATGAGTAGAAACTAGAAACCCATCATACTTGATTCAGTCTCGACTTTTGAGTAGAATTTTGGAGCAATCCTAGGGCTTAGTGATATTCTACTAGGAACACATCATACTTGACGATACTGCCCTAATTTTGACATTTTGTGCGACCTGGTAGTTCATCGAAACTTCAGCTGAATTTTAGGAGTTGGAACTAGAAACACATCATACTTGATTCAGTTTGGAGTAGAGTTTTGGAGCACTCAGTATACTTAATTGACATTCTACTCAACTTTTGCACTGACTTCTAATTGAAGAATTACTGATTGACTTGTATTTCTTCTAACCGTCTTGACTGTGTCTTATTCCAATGATGCCTCCATTGCCTCAGTTAGTTGTTTGTTCCTTTAATGGATTTATAGTGTTTTGCATGCATTATAAGGATGGATCGCTCTATCTGGCTTTACTGCTTCGTATAAACTCATCTATGGATGATGCCATTGTTTGCTTCTGCTGTTAGAAATGAACTTATGGCAGGTGTAGAACTTCAACCTGTTGGAACTGTAAAAACTGTGCTATATGTGCAATTTCAGAAGCCACATAATGTCAAATGTGTGCTTGGGTAGTTACCTAACAAAACTTCGTTGTGTATATGATTTTCTTTCCAGTTTGGGCGGATGCCGATACATGGTTTGAGCGCCAGCAACAAGAAGAGGAAATGCAGCGAATGCAAGAAGAGAACCGTGCTGCATTGCAGGCTGCAGAGGACTTGCATAGAAAGAAGAAGGCAGATGAGCGAGAAGGAGAGAAGGAAGAAGAAACTGAGGCCAGAGATGACCCGATGGCGAGGGCTGAAGCACAAGTCTTGAATCAGAACGGTTCCTAGCTACATGCATATAATGTTGTGAGATGAGTTTTCTTGTCATGTAACTGCTCTTCAAGCTCTTAACTATATGATCACTTGCTCTTTTCCTCTCATCGACTCATAAACCGCCCAAAAACTACACTCTGTCAGTCCTCTCATTGTCTCTTGAAACTTTTCCTCTCGGTCATTTTGAGAGCTCTGTTTTGTCCTGCTTTCTTTTCCTTCACTTCCCAGTGCTGATTTACATTTCTCCAATTATCTCAAGGGCATTTTCTTTGAATGCTCTCTAGAGTTATTTTCCACAAATTACAATTCAGATCTGTGTCTTAAGACGTCAGTCTCCATGAGCCAAGAGGACCTATGTTTACAGTTTTACATCCTTCCACAAACTTTTGTGATTCAGAAGAGTTTTGTCTAATATGTGAGTTTGGTTTCAAAGTCTTGAAGCTAGGGTGTAAGGAAGATGTCACGTTGTTTGGCTCTTCCTGATCTTGCTTCTCCAACCTGATGATGGTGCTCCGGTTCTTGCCCTGCGGCTGCAGCAGAGTGCTTTGGTCGTCTTTGTTGGTCGCTTGTTTGTTTGGTGGTCGTGCTGCTAGCGACGGCAGTGGCAAGTGGTTGTTCGTTTCTTTTGCTGGTCGCAGCTCGTGAAGCAGAACTGCAATAGGCGGCAGTGACTTACTTGGACCTTGGTAATGTTTGGCAAGAATAGTACTAGAATTCGCTTTGAACCTTTGTTTATACGCTCGTGGATGGTGTTGCTGGGTGTCTTTGTTGGAAATGATTTGATCCAACTTTATGACCATCTATTTTTTATCGGGTAAATTGCAAGTTTGGTCACTTGAAATACTATAAAATTTTACATTTGTCACTGGAATTATTTATCCTATTTCTGGTCACTTAGATTAGTTTAACGGGTTAAAGACACATTTGGTCACTGAGATTACTAAATCGGGACATGTTTAGTCACTAGAAAAAGTTAATATCAAATTTGGTCACTATAATTACTAAAACGGGACACATTTAGTCACTCACCGTTAGTTGCCGTCCAACTTCGTTAACAGAGTCTGTTATGTGCTGATGTGGCTAACGTGAGCACCTAGTCAGCGCCTTTTTGGGTCGGAAATGGTCAAACCCGACCTGCCACGTTACTAAACCAGCCATATCATAACCCCAACCCAACCCATGAACTCAATCCGACCGTGAACCAAACCCGACCCACTTAACAAAAGCAAACCCGCCTCACTTCTCCTTCCTCTCGTTCCTCATCTCCCCACCTCCACCTCTCACAAGCTTCCACCACCACAATCTCCCGCTGCAATATGGAAACAGAGCCTCTCCACCCAACAGTCGCCGCCGGCAGCTACCAAGACGAAGAGAACAGAGCCTCTCTACATCCTCCATGAGCTCTCCTCCAAACTTAGAAGCGCCAACCACCGCCGTCGACCTCCGATTCCTCACCCACCACTTATCCTCTGCTTCTCCCCCGCTACCACCAAGGAAACCAACCAGATCCGAGAAACCCCATTCTCGATCGGACCTCCGTTCCCTCACCCACCACTTATCCCCTACTTCTCCCTTGCTACCGCCAAGGAAACCAACCAGATCCGAGAAACCCCATTCTTGATCGAACCTCTGATCCCTCACCTATCACTTATCCCCTGAGTTCTTGAAAACCCTAATCTCGATGAGAGAACATAATTCTTGAAAACCCATTAACGTAGTCATACTCCTCCTCGTCCAACCCGCAATCGAAGTTGAGGACGTAGCTCTCGAATTGAACTTCTGAAACCTCCACCAATTGAAATTCTGCTGCTGCTGGTTTTCGCCTTCCCCTGTTTTCGCTCCTCACCTGTTTTGTATCAGAAGGTAATTGTTGCTTTCGTCGTTGGCGATTTCGTTCCCCCGTCGTTGGCGGCTGTTGGGTGGAGAGGCTCTGTTTCCATTTTGCGGCGGGAGATTGTGGTGGTAGAAGCTTGTGAGAGGTGGAGGTGGGGAGATGAGGAACGAGAGGAAGGAGAAGAGAAGCGGGTTTGCTTTTGTTAAAGTGTGTCGGTTTTGGTTCAGGGTCGGGTTTGGTTCATGGGTTGGATTGGGGTTATGATATGGCTGGTTTAGTGACGTGACGGGTCGGGTTTGACCATTTCCGGCCCAAAAAGGCGCTGACTAGGCGCTCACGTTAGCCACGTCAGCACATAACAGACTCTGTTAACGGAGTTGGACGGCAATTAACGGCGAGTGACTAAATGTGTCCCATTTTAGTAATTATAGTGACCAAGTTTGATATTAACTTTTTCTAGTGACTAAACGTGTCCCGATTTAGTAATCTTAGTGACCAAATGTGTCTTTAACCCTTAGATTAACAGTTCAAATTTTGTCACTCTCCGTTAGTCTCCATTATGTTTATCCTATGTGGCAGTCAACATTTATAGTTGACGTTAAATAACTAACGTGTCTATTTAAAAAATAATAAAAAATAAAATTTTCAAATTTCCACCTCACTATCTCAACCCATTCAACAATAAAAAAAATACAACTAATTTCTTTTAAGCCCTCGCCACCGTTGGAAGCGGAAACTGGTGTTCGGAGGCAGAGAGCTCTCCCAGTGATAGCCCAAACCAGACCATGGCTGCCATCGCCGAAACCAACCATCCCGTTCGAAATCACGGGCTCTGATGACAAAGAGTGCAAGGTATCTCGGGCGATAAATTTAGCCCCAAACGCACAAATGGCTGCCATCGCCAACCGGATTCACCAGGGCCTACGATTTGCCTCCCGACGCCAAAATCTACAGCTCCTACGAGCCCCTCCTCGACGACCCAGATATCGATGTTATCTATCTCCCCTTCACCCACCACCCTCCACCTGAAATGGGCTTCCACCGGCGCCGTCGCGAACTTCACCTCTGATTTCACCTTCGCCATCGACAATGACAAAGGTACCTGGTATAGGGAAAATGGCTAGAGTATTATTCATAGTAGGTAGGATATATATACAATTATTGGGCTATGTATTTGAATTACAGAATCGATATGATGGATTGGATGGTTCTCGTTTTCTCCACTTCAACGGCGTTGGCGTAGCAATCCCACACCATCATATCATGGTCCTTCACCTCAGATCTCGATCCGGATTGCGAATCCAAAACCACGGTTGCGAAGCCGGAAGTAGCCAATCGGGACAACAACACCGCATCTGATCTAGATAATGATGGCGGCTGCGGAGGAACGAAAAACATATTAGTGATTGTAATCATCTTAGCAATCCTCTATGTTCTTACAATCATATTGATCGGGGGTGATTCGTAGTCTTTGACTAGATCGGTGCTCCAGGAGAGCTCTCCGTCTCCGAACACCAGTTTCCGCTTCCAACGGTGGCGAGGGCTTAAAATAAATTAGTTTTATTTTTTTGAATTTTGAATGGGTTGAGATAGCGAGGAGGAAATTTAAAAATATTAAGTTTTATTTTTTTATTAATTTTTAAATAGATACGTCAGCTATTTAACGGTCAACTATGAATGTTGATCGCCACATAGGATAAACATAACTGAGACCAACGGAGAGTGACCAAATTTTAATCGTTGAACTAATCTAAGTGACTAGAAATGAAATAAAATAATTCCAGTGGCAAACGTGAAATTTTATAGTATTTCAAGTGACCAAATTTACATTTTACCCATTTTTTATTGTTGGGAAGAAATATTAAACTTCATTCCATCACTGAAATAGTTGAGGATTGTATAGAGGCTAACATGTTTAAGTGTTAGCGTCATACTAACACTTACTATAAGGGTATTATAGTAACTATTCCTTCTCTTTTCTCATTTTACTTTTTTCCCATTCATTTATGTTTTTTTTTTTCCTTCTATATTTCATATACAAATTACAATTTTAATTTCTTAACTTCATAGATATTAAAATTAAGTACCTATTTTTTTTACATTTCTGGCCTAAAAATATCATTGAAAAATTATATTTTAGTACCTGAAAGTTTTATTTCTTAAATTTTGGTACCTAAACTATTTAAAACTACAAACAGGTCCACTACTAAGAAATTTCTGGCTTGTTTTGAAAATCTTCTGATCTACTATGAGGAGGTTCTGGCCTACTTTGGAGAGGTTCTAGCATACTTGGAGGTTCTAGCCTACTTTGAGGAGGTTATAGCCTACTTTAAGGTTCTGACTTACTTTGAGCAGCATCTGACCTAATTCGGTGGTCCCCTCCCTTCCTCAAATTTAATGCAAAAAGGACGGCTGGTTACCCCCTCCCCTTCCCCAATTTTTCATAATACCAAGCCTGCCACTCCTTCCCCTTCCACTTAATTAATTGTGGTCAACTCATTTAAATGGAAAAATCATCCAAACGAAATGTTCATATTGGCTTGAGCTAGTATTAGCCCCATGCTAACAAAAAAAGTTTTATCATGCTAGCCTTTCCCGGATAGTTTACATGTAAAATTTGACATTAGAAAAACTTTAAGTAAATCAAGAGTATTGATCTAATTACCTTAAACTGAAGATTTAACTATCAACATGCGACCCAATTTGCCCTATAATAGAGCTTTTGCGAGGCAACTTTTTACCTTGATTTGAGGGTTGATCTCGTGTAGGGGTGAACAGTGGGTGGTTTTATGCGGATTTGGGTGGGTGTAGGAGAAAATGACCAATACCCACTCAAACATTACATGTGGGTGGGTTGGGTGATTGCGGATGATGGGTGGTTGGGTGGATTCGCTGGGTTTACAACATATATTCCATATGTTAACATAATTTCAATAGTTTTAAACTTAAAAGGCTTAATACATTTGTATACCCAAAAGTTTCGCGTTAGTGACAATAAATGCAAATTTTGGACAAATATCACTTATAGCCCGATTTTGTAGTTGTTTTAGGAAAAATATAGCCATTTCCTTTAGATATTTTAACGGTGTTAGTAACACCGTCAACTTCTTTGAAAGTTCGTTGACTAGGCTTCAACTCAGCGGACACGTCAATGCCAATAAGCAGGAAGAGACATGTTATATTTTAATTTTTATTTAATAAATAAATACACATCATAAAATTAATTAAAAATATTAAAAAGAAGTCCTCCGATTTGCTTCTTGTGCCTTTCTCCTCCAACGGGGAGACTCCCTTTTGTTTCCACCACCGTCGCTCCATCACCCAACTCCCAATCGATTACAAAAAATTGATATCACTGATCAATTATTTGCAGAGATCTCTCTGTTATCAATTATTTCTTCTTCCTCTGCTATCCACACACCAACTCCCGCCCTCTAATCCACAAAGAATCATACCTAATCTAAAATAAGGATCCAACTCAAAAAGGAGGAAATTATCCCTTCGTATTCTTCTTCCTCTCAACATACATGATTCAATTAAAAAACTCAAGCAAAGCCCAACTCCCCCATAGTCACCGAGCTTCCTCCGCCGGCAGCAACAAGAAGAAAAAGAATAAGAAGAATAATAATGAAATCATCGCCACCACAAAGCACAGCCCAACACATATCCCCGTCGGCGCTGGATCCCGCAACCTCGCCAGCCTGAACTGAACCTTCTCCCCTTGCGCCGCCAGTTCCCCCAACACTCTCTACACCTACGCCCCTGTGAAGGAAGGATGCAGAAGGCAGCCATCAATAGAGTGCTTTAGTGACAGAGTCGACCCGGGCATCCTTTCACCTTGGTCGAAGAAGAAGGAAGAGCTGCAGTTCCACGATCTCGTTTCCATCTAAGTAGTTAACCCTGCAAGATAGAATGGTGTCGCTTAGTGGTCCAGTGAATAAGTATCAACTAGCCACTTGACGTATCATTAGTGGCTAGGATAGTTACCGTTAGCCTACAGTAGAGTAACTTTACCTTTCTGTTTTGTAGTGGTAAATCAGATAGAGCTCCTCTATATATAAACCTTCAGAAAATGGAATGAAGCCAGTCTGGAAAATTCCCCAATGATGCCTTCTCGTTCTCCTTTCATTTCAGCCCTAATTCTTTGCTAGGGTTTCAAGCTTTCTCATGGTATCAAAGCGTCGTTGCTGATCCAGCTCGGTTCTCTCTTTCGTTTTCTTCTATTTTGAGTTTCTGAAACAAGTTTCATGTTATCATAATGGGACTACAACAATTTTCGTCTATTATGACATCACTATTTTGTCATAATAGGTCTAAATTTTGTCACAATACATGTATTATGACAGAATAATTTGTCATAACATTCTTCAAAACTACCTCGTCGAAACAACTTTACTATGACAAAATTATAACATCTTGTCACAATATGTTTCAATGTCAAGATGACCAACTTTTGTCAATATAAGACCCCTATTTTGACAAATACTTTTGTCGCAATAAATAGATATTTTGTCATAATACATACAAAATTTGTCACGATAAATACAACCTTTGATATGATGTTGTGACAAATTGTACAGTTGAGACGAACAATTTTGTAATAACAGTTTGTCATAATATCTAATAAGGGGTTGTTTTGCAGATGATCTCCTAGTGTTTACAAATGGGTCAATAAGGGGAGTGGTTGGCATAAACAGAGTGCTTACACAATTCTATGTTGATTCTGGTCTTCGTTGCAATCCTGCTAAATGTCAGTTGTTCTGCTGTGGAATCCCTGAAGAGGAACAACAATGGATTTCATCCTTTACTGGATTTCCACTTGGTAGTCTCCCTGTCCGTTATCTTGGTGTCCCGCTCATTTCAGGTAAACTTTCCTCTGCTGACTGCTCAGTGCTAGTTGATAAGATAACAAAGAGGATTAGAACATGGCAAGCAAAAAAACTCAGTTATGCAGGTAGATTACAACTAGTATCTTCTGTCATTACTAGTATCATGCAATACTGGATGGCTCTATTCTTGCTCCCCCAAAAGCTTTTAAAAGAGATAGAGAATATATGCAATCAGTTCTTGTGGGGGGTGGGAAGTCGAAGCTTGAGGAAGAAGGCACTGGTAGCCTGGAAGTTTGTTGCCCTGCCAAAAAATGAGGGGGATTGGGGATAAGATATTTTAAATATTGGAACCAAGCATGTGTAATTCGTCATATCTGGAATCTGTTGGCTGAATCTGGTTCTTTATGGGTTGCGTGGATGAAAAAATATCGTTTGAAGGCTAAGTCCATATGGGACATAACAGGGCAGTTAGCAGGGACTTGGATATGGAGGAAAATTCTGAAAAGCAGGGTGGGAGTACAAGCCCATGTCTCTGGCAGTGGTGTGACACTTGCTTGGGATGGAAAGCGCCTGCCAAAATATTCTGTTACACTTGTCTCGAAATCTATCAGGGATCCTCAGGGGTTAGTTGAGTGGCATAAGGCTGTTTGGGGAAAACCATATAGCCCGAAACATAGCTTGTTGTTATGGCTTGTGATTCTTAATCGTATCACCACAAAGGATAAATTGCAGAGTTGGGGATTGACTGTTGATGTTTCGTGTGGTTTGTATCCAGGAGGAATTGAGACAAGAGATCATCTATTCTCAGATTGATGTTTCGTACAGCAGAAGTGTTTTTTGTACTGTGTTGTCTCAGTTTTGCAGATTCCCAGGGTTCTCTTCATGGCAGGATCATCTGCAATGGGCAGTAAGGCAATGGACCAGCGATACTGGAGGAAAGAGTGAAGGACGGTTGAGGTGGTCAATGTGTGTTAGCTATATATGGCGAGAACGCTGTGGTCGTGCTCATGATGCAGCGATTTGTTCCCCAAGTAAGATAGCAGGCAGAATTGAAGACGAGGTGAAGTGGATTCTCACGGCCAAGTCTCCCTGAAAAGTGCTGATTTACTGTATAGATAGGTTTTTTTTATGTCTGAGTTGATTGTAAAGGGCTCAATAGGTACTTGTTGTTTGCTTTGAGAAGGGGTTTTGCAGTTGCAAACCCTAGTGCTTAATGAAATTTTGATTAACCATAAAAAAGGGGTTGTTGGTCGACAATGTTTTTTGTCAAAATATCTTATATAGGGTTGTTGTGACGAACATTTGTTTGTCACAATACGTTTATTGTGACATACCATTTTGTCATAGTTACGAGATAGAATACTTTATATAATTTTTGACGAAACCATTTTGTTATGACATATTTAATATGAAAAATACGGTTTGTCAGCAACCTGTTTTTCATCAATATTATGTGTCTTTGTGACAAGTTATTTTGTCATTATATATGGAAATGATGACAAATATAAATAAGTCAATATCAGGATAATCTGACATCCTAATTTTGTCAACATATCTGAAAGTTCACGAATATTGCAGCCAAAAGAAAATATTCAACAATCTTGTTCATAATCCTTAATTAAATAACAATCGTGCAAACTAATATAACATTCTAGTGTTCACGGTGCCGTCATCAGTTCCACTATCAGGGACAACTCTACAACAAGTCCATCTAGAAAGGAAAGTTCTACAAACTACCAAATTAACTTTCTAATAAATCACCCGCGCATGCTTCCACCGTCTATGCCCATCCAAAATAAGGTGATGACAGTTCAATGAAGTATCACTGCCAGAAAACTACTTGTACCGATGAGAGAAACAACGTTAGTTGCTTATTCCTTCTATAATTATGAAAACTAATGATGTCTATACCACCATAATAAAGGAAGATGGGCACTAACTATGTAGTGGAATAAAACAAAACATTCTTCACATCATCTGTAAAGGTTCATAGAATCATGACATGAACAAATTTGATTCTTGAGAAGTTATTACCTTTAAACTAAGTTGATCTTTCATCAACTTTTCAAGATAGGGACTCCACATAGTCCTTCAGACTTTCGTGTGACTCTTGTAGCTTGTGGATAGTCTCATTCTGAGTTTGAATTTCCTGTTGCTGGTCTTCTATTTGCTACTGTTGGGATTGTATTTGTTCCTCAAACTCTTGCCTCTGCCTCTCCCCTTCAACCAATGAGTTCTCCAAACGCGTTTCTAGGTCTTTCTCTCTTTGGGAACTCGATTTCTCTTTGTTTATGTAACTTGGTGCTTTCTGAAGCACCATCTAGACTATCTCAGCACCAGATAATGGGCTCCCCTTCTCTACAACTTCAGCATGAATCCTCTTCATTTCCTCCTGTAAAGACAATACAACCTCAATTTATTTATCAGTACAGTAATTAGAATTTTATAGCCTAAACACTAAGACATACCACTTTACATAGTTTTGTTATCGTTGCTCATTAACCCAACTGCCATCACTTCTCCTATGTGTCTTAGCATACATTGTTATTTCCTTTGGCTCTTTTTTTTTCCACTGCAACAGATTGTTGTTCACTACTGTTCCCCTCATCAGGATGGTTTGTGGCTTGCTTGGCTTTCTCCTATAAACATAAAAATAACATGCATGAGTTGTGAAAAGACCAACAAAAAAAAAAGTTTTGTAATAGTGTTACTATATGACTGTACAAGAATTTACCATTTCATAAATCCTCTGGCTACAAGATTTACCACCGGTAGTATGTGCATATGCCTGCATACTCTTGTTACGCTTATTGGCGATACTTTTCCTCTGTAGAGTATTATATGTAGACATGATCATTCATTGGATGCATTATGGGTCTACACTAGCAAATGCAGCGTATGAAAATTTTGAAATAAAAGTAAGTGTTGTTGGCAGGGGACATCATCTTAAACTTTGGACTCTCAAAATGCTCGCACATACAGACCCAATTTTATGTTTTCAGGCGGAGTCTGGCGTGCATTGGCATCACCTAACTTCTGGTAATGCTCATGAGAATGGTGCTTGAAGTTTGTGAACCGCCTGGACAAGGAATAGTCTATAGCATTCTTCATATCTTCAGTCATCAACATATCAAACTCGGACTGCAAACCAGAACAACATATTAGTTGGATCGAAAATATGTAATAAATCTTTATCAATTAACAAATTATTAGAGTGTACCTCTAGTTTTGCATAAATGGGTTGCTTTTTCTCTCCTGTCACAGTTGACCAATAAAACTTACCAATAGGCACCATCATCTTGCATATCACTCCCAACTCCATCTTAAAAAATTTCTCATTAGTGCCAATTACCTTTTTGGCTCCTTGTGCAACCTCAATACCATCAATCTTACTGCCATCTCGAGTTCTCTTAAGTACCTCAAGCCCTTTGGATTTTCTGCGTCCTTTCTTCTGTGGTTGGCCTGTTATACAAGTATATTCATCAAATGGTACAACAGTTTCTAATTTCCCAGAATGAAGATGCAGATCCAAAGCAGTAAACACCCATCGCATAAAACGACATAAAAACCAAACCAAATCAAATGGTATGACAGTTTACAATTTCCCGGCCATCGAGTTTAGATCATTGTTAAGAAAAGTAATTACTTAAATGGGAAATGCCAAACCAAACAACAATAGCAGCAGAAAACACACACTACGTCTATAATAAATATAGATTAACAACAATGAAATACCGATAGAACAAAGCAACAACAACAACAGGTAAAAACAGACACTAGCTAGCTGGATTAATTAACACGACTTAATTCATTGGAAGAGAATTAATTGGATCATCTATATATCTCCAACATTATTTATTTGATTTGCTTCTCCCTTGCGTCTTACATATGTGCATCTACAAGCCATATGAGTTAGTTAGAGTGACAAAACTGGTGTCAAATTAAGTAACTCCAAACTAGACTACAAATCATATGCCTACCAGTAGGTAGCTACTTAATCCAAAGGGACAACTAAAAGAAGAGTACTCATCATTATCATCACTAAAATACGACCAATATGTATGTTTGTAGCTAATTTATATTCAACATGTAGTTATCCCAGACCCAGTAGGTACGCAATTTAAGACCTTCCTTTTAAGGGAACTTAAGACCCCAGAACCAGTTCTTTCATGAATTAAATATCATTGATTGTTAGGTGAAAATGTTGCCAATAGACAATTTATCCCCAAACATGAAGCTTCTACTTTCCATTTGGAAATGCAGGAAGAAAAAAATAAAAATAAAGGGTTGCTAGCTAGCAAAAAGAGCTACCAGGTTAATTCATCATCACAAAACACATATATTGTTGATCATACGTAAAATTATATGCTAAATACTAAGTGATAAGAGCTTACTTGATTCATTAAGATAGCTGCCGTTGCATCCATGGTGTTTGATCCATCAGAACCAGTCTCACTCACTGTTGGAGTTTCTCTTGGGAGCTTGGAACTTTGTAGCTCCTCAGTGGTTTCAGTTGCAGTGGCATTCTGATGCGAACTTCTTGTCATCCTTGTTGTTTGGGTTTGACGCATTGTAGCTTCCTTTCTTTTCCCACCTCGACTTCCACCTGGAGCCATATCTAAAATACACAAATGTGTTAGAGTTGAGAATAAATGCCTATATAAAAATGTTCCATCTAAATGACAGCATACCATTTAAAAAAAAAGATAACATACCACACTCAAACAGTAGATTATATCATGGATAATAAGGATTATATATGCTTATATAAGAAAGTTGCGTCTGAATCATATAATTGTCTATATAGAAAAGCTGAAGTGACAATTACATTTAATCCTATATAGTTTGGTGTCCACTAGGAAAAGTGAATGCAAAAATGACAACTAATTATCGTCCTCTTCTTTGCTGTTTCAATCAGTGCCCCCATTTTCCCTTGAGGGACATATAAGATCATCTACCATGTCCTCCTCCTCCTCCTCTGATTCTTCATTGGCCATATCCGCCTCCTCCTCAAACTCGGAAAGGACCTCTGCACTGGCAAGTAAGTGCTCCATAACTGAAACTTCCTGCTCATTGAGAATAATTGGAGCCACATCAGTACGACTCAACAACTGAATCTCATCAGGGTCTGACACAATAGTGTTCAGGTTTATGCTTTCATCTTGTTGGAATGGCTCACTATCATAAACGAGATCTTGATATTCCACATCATCCATCTCCGGAACGTCATATACATGCCTAGGCGATACTCTATGGACTATACGCCAACTACCACCATTTCTCAAATCCTCAATGTAAAACACTTGCATAGCTTGACTAGCTAATATATATGGGTCATGAGGGTAACACTTTCTGCCTATATTGACAGTAGTTAGAAAGCCATCAAACCTAATCCCATTTATTTTATCCCCTCGACTCACTCCTACTGTCACTCTAGAAATTGGCCAAGTGTAACCACTTCCTAAAGCGTAGTATAGCGGGTTTGGGTTTAAATGTCAACCCGGGTCCTAGATTTGATGACTACTCGGTGAATTCTTGTTATCTAGCAATGAAACTTTAATGCAGGTCTAAACTAACAAACACGCAAAGCAAGTAAACGGTTGTATTCAGGTTAAGAGAGGTCACCCGGATATGGCTCCCCCTAGACTGCAGTTAAGCCGGATTGCAATTACCAAGTTCAGTTTCTATGATAGTTATACTGCGGAAGGTTCTTAAGCAGCCTGAAGTGTCGACTAAAGGTCTTCAGACCCTCTCAATCTGAGTCTCTAGCGGACGACTAACCTCCACCGGAGTAAACAGATTGAGGCCCTAACAACAAAACCTCCACTACCGAAGGGAATTCGGTACAGAATAGTGAGTGGCTCCTCGACTAAAGTCACCAACTCCCTACCTTCAATCAAGGATGCTCTATCAACCTAGGCAGATATTCTCATTCTAGGTTAAAGCAGAAACAACAGGAATTTGATCAGGATTCAAGTCATTCAATCATTCAAGCCTCAATCGAATATAATCAACTCATGAAATCAGTACTTGGGTTCATACAATCAGACCTAACATACAAATCTAGGGTTCTCCATACCCAGATGAATGGGAGAACTACTCCATGGAGAGAGAAGCAAAAGCAGAATCAGACGCGGAATTCATACTGTGAAGGATGTATTCCTGCTCCTGGACGTTGATTGGCACTCCTCCAAGCTCAAGCCAAGCTCCAATGGTGATGAAGATCAAGCTAGGGCACTTGGAGACTCTTGTTCGTCGCTTTCTCTCTCTAGGAATCGCTCTATCTCTCTAAAACTCGAATCCCCTTCTGTTTTGGCTGAAATCTGATTAAAAGGGCATCAGTGGCCAAAGCACGGTCGAGGGCACGGCCGTGCTTTGCTCCAGCCCGCCCGTGCTTTGGCTATGGTTAATTACACGGCCAGCCTGTTGGGAGAAACACGGTCGTGCTTTTGGGTGGATACGGCCGTGCTTTGGTGGACACGGCCGTGCTTTGGTGGACACGGCCGTGCTTTGTCTCAGCCCTGCCCGTGTTTTTAGCCAATGTTTGCCAAACTCAGATTAGCTCTCGGCTGTAAAAGCATGGTCTCAGAACACGGCCGTGTTCTGATTTAGGTGTGCCCGTGTTTTGGCTCCAGCTCGACGAAATGACTTCCGAATGCCCCAAAACTCGTGCTTAGCCTTTCCTTTGACGCCTGGGACCTGAAATATGACAAAGTAGCACAACCCGGCGTAAAATAGGCCAAAAATACACGACTATGTCCCTCAAACGGATAAGAACTAGGGGCGCAAATATGTGCAATTACGTCGTTATCAAATTCCCTCAGACTTAACCGTTTGCTTGTCCCCAAGCAAACCTAACTCAAACCAATGCAACTCTCCAGACCTCTATAGCAACAAACAACCCAGATCGTAGGTAGAGGACTTCCTAAATCATTTAGCAGCTTACGAGGTCAACCGACGCACAAGTCATCTCATAGCTTCTTCGGCGAGAGCACTAGTATCGAGTCGGCATCATGGCAAATAGTGAACAGAGGAAAAATGAATTGTGGATGAAGAGATTCTAAAAAACAAAGGATCATGGACTCACATTTTTCAAGGTGCTCTATTTTCTTCTTGAAGATGGTTGGAACCCCTTTTCTTTATGTTTTGCTTGTTTTCTGTTATTTTTTTTTTCAAGGGTCCCAACCTGCTTTTCAGAAAATGGGGGCTCCCACTTATCAGAGGTTTTGCGGGAGCCCGACTCTTACCGGCCATGCCAGGAGCGGATGTCTCGAGCCTCGTGCGGGGGAAAGACATGTAAGGGGGCTGGAGGTAGTATGTGGAAATTGGGAACGGATTCCCATCTCCCCTTACACACTTTCGCCCTATTCGCACGGGAGACGTTATTTTGAATCACATTTTCGAGCACCTGTTAAACTCAAAACATGAAACAAGAGTCCATGACAGGTAGAGAGTCCACAACACCACACAATTCAAGGGTCCTAAGATCACTAATTCACTCAATCAACCAACACAATATGAAGAAGAAATGAGACTTCTTAAATGCATCAACATCCTCCATAGTGCTACACTACCTCCCTAGGTTGCATATTACTATAAAGACTGTCAATTCAAAGCATACTGAGCAGGCAATTGCACGGAAACACGTACCTGGAGCCCTCAAATTTAAAAATTTGGACAGTGGACTAGGCTCCAAGCACACAAACAGATCTAATACAGTCAAAAGATAAACATCCCCCACACTTAAGATCGACATTGCCCTCAATGGAGAAGAGGGAAGGAAAAGGGGAACGATGTTACCGGTATACACGGACTGCAGGAGACTGGAAGCGGACCAGTCGAGTGAAGCGGACTGGAGAGGGACCAGTCTGGAACAAAGCACAGCTAAAGGGGAACAGAAGAGCTCAAACACAATATGTTAGGTCCAATGGTCAGCCCAATAATACATCATCCAAAACAAAAGAAAACGAACCAAAACCAAACCGGTTTACACTCCGACTCAAAACACAAGAAAGAAAGTCAAACCGTGGTGGGGTTGCCTCCCCACAAGCGCTTCTTTACCGTCTTTTAGCTGGACGCCCATGGTGGATACTCAGGGAGGTGCAGGAACAGGTGCCTCCAAGAGCGGATCCACGTCGCTCTTGAGGTACAGCTTCAGGTTGTGGCCATGCACCCGACGGATGCGTCCACCATCATCGGTCAGCTCGACCTGGCCATCCGGTAAGATGCAGGCGAGTGAGTACCCGGACGGCCAGGGTGGTCGTGGTGCAGGAGGTGGGACCAGCTCATAGTGGTCTCCACCCTTCTTCCGAACAGGCTTAGCCACCTGCGGCTTCGGCCGACACTCCTCCTTGAGCTTTTTGTTCGGAGGCGAGGCTGGATGGAGTGGCGGCGAAAGAATGATAGGAGGGTCCTGCAAAATGAGAGATGCAGAAGGATACACGACAGGCTCGTGTACCTGATCAGAAATGGCATGCACAGGTGTGACAGCAATCATAGCACAGTGATCGAATTCAGTCACAGAAAAAGTAGCCTGTTCATTCCCAGCACGCAGGATCAATTTACCATCATGCACATCAATAAGTGCCTTGGCGGTGGCAAGAAATGGTCTACCCAGAATCAAAGGCACATCCACATCCTCATGTATATCAAGAATAACAAAATCAACAGGATATGTGAATGCACCTACATTAACAAGCAGATCCTCTATAATTCCCCTAGGATGCACAATGGAACGATCAGCTAGCTGAATGCTCATCCTAGTAGGGCTAAGTTCACCTAGGTCCAGCTTTTTATACAACTTATATGGCATGACATTTATGCTAGCGCCTAGGTCCGCCAAGAACTTGCCTACATGCATGCTGCCAATAGTAAGAGGGATAGTAAAACTCCCTGGATCCTTGCGCTTTTCGGGCAGCTTGTTCTGCAGGATAGCAAAACACTCCTCACTGAGCATCACTGTCGAAAGATCCCCAAGTTTCTTCTTGTCGGTGAGGAGGTCTTTCATGAACTTGGCATACTTGGGCATCTTCGACAGTGCCTCCACGAACGGTATGCTGATGTTGAGCTGCTTCAACATTGCCATAAACTTGGCAAACTCAGTCTCTAGCTTGTCTTTGTGTAGGCGAGTGGGGAAGGGAAGCTGGGGCACATGCTCCTTAACCACTGGTTGTGGCTTGGGAGCAGGGGCTTCCTTCTCCACCCGCACTTCTGCATCGTCGGCTGGAAGTGCTGAAGCAGGTAATGGTTCCTCCTGCCTGGCCGGGGCAGGATCAGCAGAAATGGTCTTACCGCTCATGGTAAAAATGGCATCCAGCTGCTGATGCTGGTGAGGATCACGAGGATTCGGAATAGTGGTGGCAGGCAGAGTCCCCGGTGCCCTGGTAGTGTTTTGGCGGGCCAAGATACCTACCTGGTGCTGCAGATCTTGCAAAATGGCACCTTGGTTCCTCTGACCTGCCTCCAGTGAGGCTACGCTCTGGTCCAACCTCGTGATAGTTGCCTGAGTGCTAGTCATGAATGAAGCTAGAATATTCTCCAGCTTTGTCATTCGGTCATCTGGGGCAGGAGCTGCTACTGGCTCGGCAAACTGACAATGGGGCTGTTGGAATGGTTGCCCCTGCCAAGGCTGGTAGGGCTGCTGCTGTGGGGCTGGCCCCTGTCGAGCCTGGAAGGGCTGCCTCTGCTGAAAGCCACCAGCTGGTGCTGGGAAACCAGGTGGCTTAGTGGTGTTGCTGCCCCAAGAGAAGTTGGGATGCTGGCGCCACCCCTCATTATATGTATTGCTGTACGGGTTGAGGCGCCGGGCATTGGCGATGAAGTTTAACTGCTCTTGGGGAGTAGTAGACTCCCTCATAGCCTAGCAGTCTTCCACTAAGTGATTTGAGCTCTCGCACCACTGACATTGAGCTACTGGAGGTGTAGCCAAACCTCTGCCCGGAATAAGACTGTTGGGCTGCTTCAATGTCTGCACTAACTCAGCCACCTACTGCTCAAGCCCGGATCTGGTCTCCATGGCGTGCACACCACGGTCCCGGGAATGTCTGCCTCTGCTGCTCTGCCCCCAAGAATGATCTCTGGCAGCCAAGGTATTGATCATCTGGTTCAGCTCGGGTGGAGTCTTAGTAAGAATATCCCCTCCTGGGCATAGAGACTCAATCACCCTCTGGCTGTCTGGAGAGAGAGCACTGTAGAAGTTCCCCACTGTGAATGCATCACTGAAGCCATGATGGGGACACTGCCAGAAATATCCCATGTACCGCTCCCATGCATCACGAAGTGACTCATCTGGCTCTTGGCGGAAGTGAGTGATCTCCCGCTGGATCTCTGTAGTCTTCGATGCCGGATAGTACCTGAGCACGAATTTGTCAGCCAGATCGTCCCAAGAGGCGATGGACAATGGGGGCTGGGTCTCCAACCACCTCTCAGCATTCCCCGCCAGAGAATGGGGGAAAAGGTGAAGGCGGATTGCATCATCGGGGACACCATTCAGCTTGAACCCGTTCGTCAGCTGCAGAAAACGGGAAAGATGTACCCTGGCCTCCTCATCCTTCAAGCCATGGAACTGGATAGAGGATGTAATGAGCTGAATCCAGCATGGCTTGATCTCGAAGTTGTTTGCTGGAATAGGTGGGTAGAGGATGACCGGGCGGATGTCAGCAATCCGTGGAGTGTAGTAGTACTCCAAGGTGGGACCCGGCGGCGGTGGATGATGAACCCCATGATCCTGGGGTATGGGGTTGTTCCCCAGGACTTGATTCACCGGGGGAGCCTGCTGAGGATTCCCCTGGTGTTGATTGTACTCTCCGTCCATCTTGTACTCTTCCTCAGAATCGCTGCTCAGGTGGCCGTCTATGCGCTCTTCCGTAGCCAGTCTAGCTCGCTGTTGTCTCCTGAGTTGGCGACAGGTGCGGTCAATCTCTGGATTCAACGGCAGTAAACCTCCCGACTGGCTACGGGTCATGCACTTCCTGCACACGCTCAAGCAAGCAAACCCGTGAAGGCACAAGTGGGACAAAGCAAACAATGCGAAAAGAAAAGCTAAATTAACAGAAATCACTTTTCTTCAACAACCTAGCCGTCCCCGGCAACGGCGCCAAAAACTTGACTCACTCCTACTGTCACTCTAGAAATTGGCCAAGTTTAACCACTTCCTAAAGCGTAGTATAGCGGGTTTGGGTTTAAATGTCAACCCGGGTCCTAGATTTGATGACTACTCGGTGAATTCTTGTTATCTAGCAATGAAACTTTAATACAGGTCTAAACTAACAAACACGCAAAGCAAGTAAACGGTTGTATTCAGGTTAAGAGAGGTCACCCGGATATGGTCCCCCCTAGACTGCAGTTAAGGCGGATTGCAATTACCAAGTTCAGTTTCTATGATAGTTATACTGCGGAAGGTTCTTAAGCAGCCTGAAGTCTCGACTAAAGGTCTTCAGACCCTCTCAATCTGAGTCTCTAGCGGGCGACTAACCTCCACCGGAGTAAATAGATTGAGGCCCTAACAACAAAACCTCCACTACAGAAGGGAATTCAGTACAGAATAGTGAGTGGCTCCTCGACTAAAGTCACCAACTCCCTACCTTCAATCAAGGATGCTCTATCAACCTAGGCAGATATTCTCATTCTAGGTTAAAGCAGAAACAACAGGAATTTGATCAGGATTCAAGTCATTCAATCATTCAAGCCTCAATCGAATATAATCAACTCATGAAATCAGTACTTGGGTTCATACAATCAGACCTAACATACAAATCTAGGGTTCTCCATACCCAGATGAATGGGAGAACTACTCCATGGAGAGAGAAGCAAAAGCAGAATCAGACGCGGAATTCATACTGTGAAGGATGGATTCCTGATCCTGGACGTTGATTGGCACTCCTCCAAGCTCAAGCCAAGCTCCAATGGTGATGAAGATCAAGCTAGGGCACTTGGAGACTCTTGTTCGTCGCTTTCTCTCTCTAGGAATCGCTCTGTCTCTCTAAAACTCGAATCCCCTTCTGTTTTGGCTGAAATATGCTTAAAAGGGCATCAGTGGCCAAAGCACGGTCGAGGGCACGGCCGTGCTTTGCTCTAGCCCGCCCGTGCTTTGGCTAGGGTTAATTACACGGCCAACCTGTTGGGAGAAACACGGCCGTGCTTTTGGGTGGACACGGCCGTGCTTTGGTGGACACGGCCGTGCTTTGTCTCAGCCCTGCCCGTGTTTTTAGCCAATGTTTGCCAAACTCAGATTAGCTCTCGGCAGTAAAAGCACGGTCTCAGAACAGAGCGGTGTTCTGATTTAGGTGTGCCCGTGTTTTGGCTCCAGCTCGACGAAATGACTTCCGAATGCCCCGAAACTCGTGCTTAGCCTTTCCTTTGACGCCTGGGACCTGAAATATGACAAAGTAGCACAACCCGGCGTAAAATAGGCCAAAAATACACGACTATGTCCCTCAAACGGATAAGAACTAGGGGCGCAAATATGTGCAATTACGTCGTTATCACCCCTACATCCCACCAGTCACATTTCAATACATAAATGTGGCAACCATAACAAAATTGGAATTTCAGAATGTCAAAAAGCACCCCGTAGTAGTCTATAATTGCTCCTTTGTGTTCACCCTCAACAATAATCCCACTATTTCGAGTACGACGATCTTTGTCTACGTCATAAACATGATATCGAATCCCATTCATAATGATTCCAGCATATCTAGTAATTCTTTCATCTGCACCAAGTCCTAGACTATATAGATGGTCGTTTTTCTGGATTTTTCCAGAGCAAAACAATTGTGTAACCTATACAAAAAAAGAAAACAAAATAACAAGAAAGTCATATATGTAAGGAGATATCTATACCACATATGTACAAAGCCATCTATCATAACTGATGTAAGGGGAATGAAGTTATTCTTACATATGTTTTCAACCATTTTGGGAAGTTAGCTTCAATGAATTTAGTTGTACTATTAGGATTAGTTAGCTTCAATTCTTATGTATATATGAAGTAAACAACATTCAATAGGAAAACAAAAATTACAAGTATAGGTCAACTCACTTCATGTACTCCTCGATCTCCCCGCAATTATTTAGAATATATTTTCAATCTTTGTGAATTCATTTTGGGGCAAGATTGCAGTCTTGGTCCCTCCTAGGGGACTAGTGGTCTAGTCTTATTTGTAAAAATAGAGAACCCATTCGATTCCATGTCTTCACAACGCTCATCATTTCTGTCTACATGAGTTGCTCTTGTTTCAACCCCTTGCAATATTTGGCACACAACTCTGAACATTGTCCAGCTATATATCTTTCAGCTATAGATCCCTCGGGATGAGCTTTATTACTTACAAGATTTTTAAGGGTACCTAAGAACCTATTGAAATTAAAATAAAAAATAAAATCAGAACTTAGTTAATTTGTTAAAATTAAACAAAATTTCGATAACCCAAACAGAAACAAAATGTGGTGAAGCGGTACCTTTTCATGGGGTACATCCCGTTACGAGATTGAGCCATCGTAGCATTTCATGAATTACTGGGCTTGCATATCTTTTCTTATTAGTTCGTATTAAGTAATTATTTGGCAATATTAGTATTAATTATTATTAGTAATTTTTATATTTGGATTAGGAGATGTGTTAGTATTTAATTAATGTTTCTTGTAAGGGAAGAAAGGGAATTCTAGTAGGAAAAGGATAAGGAGAGAGGCTAAAGCCTTGGGTGAGAAGAAAAGGGATTTGGTTATGTAACTCTATAAATAGAGACATTGTCTATTAAAAATAGTATGAGAATATTGGAACCCTATTTATGTTTTGTTTGCTTTGATTATTTATTTCGTCCAGTTTAGTAGTTCATATCTATTTTGGGGTTGTTCTCGCCATTAAGGAGATCCTGTACTCGAGAGCTTCGAGAAGCGTATCCTAAAGTCCGGAGAAGTGAAGATTCAGTACGTAGAATTTCGCCCCGATGGCGCATCTATGTAACAGTTGTTATCAGGGCCTGGTTCTCCGGCACCGCCAAACCATGACGATTGAAGGTATTCAAGCAAGAGAATTGGTCTCTATGTGGAACCAATATGTGGAGAGGTTTTGCCACGATCGCATCGACTCCATGAGGTTGCCAACTACTGATTTGGAGAGCATTACTTCTCCACCAATCGTTGTCGCCGCTGCCGAGCTAATTGTAGCTCCGATTTCACCACCGTCCGCCAACGTCCTCATCGCATCAACGAAGGCCGCAGCTGAAGAGCTAACCCTAGCTTCTTTCCCACTGTCGATAATGCTAGAAGTTTCACCACCAATTCCCCCATTGCATACAAATGATAAGGTTTCTTCCGACAAGTCGTTGCCGTTTGTTGTGGGCTCCGTGACCCATCGATCATCGCCAACGGATCGTCCATGAAGCTAAACGCCAAATAACTTGGGATTTTGGATCGAGGGTTAAAAGAGGTCATAGTTGCTTCTGAATTTGGTCTCAAGCCTAGTGAGCAGCTATATCAACGGAAGATGAGGAGACGCCGCATTATGAACTGGAGGTATCAAAAGAAGCAAATGAAAAGTGGCGACCGAGATAACAAGCTGCAACCGTGGCGGCAAGCATTGGGTGTCCTTGAGGACAGAGCCAAGCAAATCGCAGCGAACAAGGAACCCACAAGGAACAACCAAGTCTCGAGCAGCATACACGGGTTGCCTAGGGAGCAACCATCACCACCGCTCGTCCTGTTAGAAGTTAGAGGACTATTTTGTAATTAACCCTTTAGGGTTAGTGTAGATCGGCCGAGTATGTATTGTTGAGAAGGCCATCTTATTCTATAATATACAAGTACGTAATAAGAACTACAAACTGCCTTGTGACGTGGACTAGTCTCAACGATCATCGTTGAGGAAACCACGTAAATCTCGTGTCCCGTGTTCATGTTCTTTTGATTCAATTAGGATTTTGACATGGTATTAGAGCCTCGCGCTTTTGATTGTTGAGTTCGTGTTCTGATTTGCGAGTTGGGTTTCCGTTGATTGTTATTCTTGTGCTTCTTGTTGGTGGGCGGCAACCTTGTTTGGCTCTTCTTCGATTGTCAATAATTCTTGGTGCTTGGCTGTTTCTTCTTCGTTGGCAATAATTCTTGTTGATTGGCTGTTTTTAACTTCGTTCCTTTTGCCGGACTTGGAGCTGCTGTCTTTTCCTCTTGCGTGGATATAATTCTCGGTGCTTTGCTGCCCTTGAATTCGTTTCCTTTGCCGCGATTGGCGCTGCTGTCTTGCCTTCTCTTCTCGCGGGCTTGGGTTATCGGAAGCTATTGCACCTGTCCTTTCTTCTCGCGACGGCCGCTTTGTGTTTTGTCTCTCTACGTCGGCTGCTGCTTTGGTATATTATATCTCGTTCTTTACTTCCTAATCATGGAGGGTTTCAAGACTGATGCTATTGCCGTTCGTTTTATCGGTAAGAACTTTGCGCTATGGGCTTTTCAATTCAAGCTTTATGTTCAAGGTCTACGTTTGCTGTCTTTCCTTAATGGTTCGGCCAAGGAACCCGATGCGGATGCAACACCGAAGGCTAAGGAGGATTGGGCTGCATCCAATGCTAGTGTTATTTGTTTGTTGCTTGGTACGATGGAACCGGACATTTCTTTGAGTTTGCATGGTTTTTCTACGGGTTCGGGAATGTGGCAGCATCTTGCCAATCTTTATTCGAAGCCTAGTGCTTCTTGTAAATTTGATCTGGAGTGTGATCTAGGTCGTCTGAATCAGGGTGATTCTGATATAAGCTCGTACTATCGACTGATGTCATTCGTGAGCGTACGAGCACAAGGATTATGCGCTTCTTAATGAATCTACGGCCCGAGTTTGAAGGGATTCGAGCATCTCTTATGTATCGTAATGTGGAGACTATGGATGATACTTGGAGAGTTTCTTCGTGAGGAAACTCATCTCAAGAGTCAGGCCAAGCTGGATATTCATGTTAGTGATTCTCATTCTGCCTTTGCGGTTCATGGAGGGAAACCTCAATTTCATCGTACTCCTAAGGGTGAGATCATCTGTCATTTTTGCAAAGAGACTAGTCATATTCAGTATCAATGTAATAAGAGGAATGTGTGTAATTATTGTAAGCAGGAGGGTCACCTGATTGCCGACTGTCCTCTTAAAAAGTATATGTGCAACTACTGCAAGCAGGAGGGCCACGTGATTGGTGATTGTCCCACACTTGCTCCTCGTGGCTGTGGCAAGCCGAGTGGATCACGTGGGGGTCCTGGTTCTGGCGCCGCCTATGCCATGAATGCAGTCGAGTCTATAGCGTCATCTTTACTTACATCTGCTAATGTTCGTCGTCTAGTTCAGGAGGCGTTGAATGAGGCCTTGCCCAATGCCTTGCCCTCTGCATTTGCACGGGTAAGGATTCTTCTTCTACTTCTTGGCATGTTGATTCTACCGCGTATAATCATATGACTAGTTCTCGTAGTGACTTTCGATCACCTGATACGACGATTCCGTGTCTTGGGTTACAAGCTGCCAATGGATCTGTTATGTCAGTTAATGGTGTGGGTCATGTTGCTCGGCCTCATATGTCTCTCCCGGATACTTTATATGTTCCCAAACTTGTGCCAAATATTGTTTCAGTAGGTCAACTTGCCGATGATGGTTGTTGGGTTATCTTTGACAATATCGGGTTTATTGTGCAGGATACGAGGACGTGGAAGGAACTCGGGAGAGGCAGTAAGAAGGGCCGATTGTTCCTGCTGGATTCTTACTCTAGATTGGGGCAGCTTGATGGACGTATGCATGGGACGTCGTCGGGCGGTGATCGTGCATGGCCAAAGTCGGGCAGGGAGGAGTTCATGGACGCCAGGAGTAATTCTTTTGATGTTAGTAGTGATAGTTTGGCTTATCTAGTGAAGTTACCTGACTCGGATTTATGGCATTTTCGATTGGGTCATCCCAACTCTGTGAGACTTCGTACTATGTTTTGGAATAAATGGTTGTCGGGTACTATTTTAAATAATCAGATTCATGAACGCATTCATTGTTTGTAAGCTAAGATGACGCATAATTCCTTTCATTCGAGTACTACTGTTTATTCTGAACCGTTTCATCTTGTTCATATTGATTTATGGGGTCCCTCTCCAGTTACTTCTAGACTTGGATATCACTACTTTGCATTATTTGTGGATCATGCTACCCGCTTTACGTGGGTATTCTTTCTTCAGCATAAATCTGAGATGTATTCGGTGGCGTAGGAGTTCTTAGCCATGGTATTCACTCAATTTAATCGGGTCGTTAAGATACAGCGATCCGATCCTGGTGGAGAGTTTACTTCTAACCCTTTGCAGAGTTCGCTGAGGAAACGGGGTATAATTTCTCAACAGTCTTGTCCGGGTGCATCGCAGCAGAATGGCTTGGTCTAGCGTAAACATCGCCATGTTCTTGAATTGACTCGAGCTGTTCTATTTCATTCAGTGGTTCCTTCCGGGTTTTGGGTTGAAGCAGTCCATACGACGGTATACTTGATTAATCATCAGATTACACCTATTCTTCAACAACGGAGTCCATATCAAGCATTATATTCTCGGGTTCCTAATTACGGTTGGCTGCGTGTATTCGGCTGCGTCTGTTATGTTCTCTTAGCTCGCAGAGAACGCAATAAGCTTGCTCCCAGATCCGTTAAGTGCGTTTTCTTAGGATACTCCGAGAAACAAAAAGGGTATGTGTGCTATGATGTAGCTGCTCGTCGAGTTCGCGTATCTTGCCATGTGGTGTTTCTGGAACATTAGCTCTACTATAGTAATGTCGGGTCTGCAGCCTCATCTCCTCCCGACTTAAGCTTCTTGGAACAGTCTGAGTTCTCCTTTCCAGCTACCGATCCTACGGATCATCCCACGCCTTCCACCAGCACCGAGGAGAGCTCAACCTCCAGTCACTCACTAACCTCGTCTTCTTTGGGAGATGGTTCGCCAACCTCATCCTCGACCTCGAGCTCCGACTCTGGTCCTTCCTCACCCGAGACAAGCTCTTCGTCCGGCTCCCACTCCAGTTCAAGATCATTTTCTAGTTCTGTATCTGTTGCTGTACTGGATGTGGTACCTGAGATTCCTCCTTTACACCGCTCCGATCGCGCCATCAAGGGTAAGCTACCATCACATCATTCCGATTTTGTTGCATTCTCTACTCCTGCAATTGTGGTTCCTGCTACTTATAAACAGGCAGAGGCAAAGCCGAATGGGATAATGCAATGGTGGTTGAAACACAAGAATTGGAAGCATCACATACGTGGGATTTGGTTTCGCGATTGCCAGAGTACTTAGTCATTGGTTGCCGGTGGGTGTTTACTGTAAATATGAATCCCGATGGTACTATGGAGCGCTTTAAGGTGAGGTTAGTAGCTCCGGGCTTTTGGCAAGAATATGGTATCGATTATACTGAGACATTTGCCCCAGTTACAAAAATGCAAACTGTACGCAGTTTGTTGACTGTAGCTGCGTTGAAGGGTGGCCGTTGATTCAGTTAGATGTGAAGAATTCTATTCTTCATGGTGATCTGAAAGAGGAAAATATATATGGAACTTCCTCCTGGTTATACGAAGGGTGACAGTTCTATGGTATGTCGTCTGCGTCGATCACTGTATGGGTTAAAACAAGCTCCACGTGCATGGTTTGAGAAATTTCATGACACCATTGTTCAAGCCGGTTTTCAGCAGAGTGATAGTGATCCTTCTTTATTTCTGCGGACTAATGCCCATCGATTGACTGTGATCTTGAGCTATGTTGATGATATGGTGGTTAGTGGTGATGACACGGTGGGGATTTAAGAAGTCACTCAACCCTTGCATTCAGCTTTTAACTTAAAGGAGCTCGGTGATCTCTCATACTTCCTGGGATTAGAGATTCATCATTCGGCTGAAGGGATTCACCTTGGACAACGCAAAAATGTCATTGATTTGCTTGAAGAGGCGCAGATGGATGAGTGCCTTCTGTGTGCTACTCCGATGGAACAAAATCTGAAGCTTCGACAGTCCGATGGTGATCCATTTGCTAACGGCAAACTATATCACAATATTGTCGGCAACCTGATTTATCTTACTCACACAAGTCCGGATATTTCTTATGTTGTTAAGATTGTGAGTCAATTCATGTATGCTCCTAGAACAGTCCACTGGTCTGCCGTACAACGTATTTTACGCTATCTCCGTGGAAGTACGGATGTCGGGCTGTTATTTCCTGCAGGGGGCGAGCCGGTGTTAGAATCATATGTTGATGCTGATTATGCTGGTTGCTTGGACACTCGTCTGTCGACTTCAGGATTGTGGGTTAAAGTCGGTAGTTCATTTATTTCCTAGCGGTGTAAGAAATAGGACAGGGATCTAAGTCATCTACAGAGGCTGAGTATCGTTCCATGAGTGATGTCGCATCGGAG